AGTATGGTTTTGATGGATTGGAATATTGCACTCGAAAGAAGAGTTTTTTTTCTATATATATATATATAAAGCAAGGGGCAAAGAAAAAAAAATATAATAATAATAATAGAATAATGCAAATTAATTTTGACTTTTATAAAAAAATTTAGATTCTCAATTTTAAAAATATCACTTTCTAATAAATATTTTAAAATTTTAATTGCTAAATTTAATATTTTATTAATACAAATTATGTATATTAATCTCAAAAATATCATTCTCTAATAAATAGATAGTGTTTTTTAAATGTTAAAATATTAATTTAGTCCCTCAACTTTTAGATTTATACTAAAATTATCTCTCAACTTCAATCAGTACCAAAATTGTTCCTAAACTTTAATTTTTAGTATAAAATAGCCCTCAAACTTTGAAAATGATACCAATTTAGTCCTTAAATTTGAAACAAGTACCAATTTGGTTCTTAAACTTTGATTACAAATACTAAATTGGTTTTTCAACTTTAATTATATATCAATGTAACATATAAATAGAAATATATCACGAAGGTAAACTATAACTATTTGATTTTATATATTATTAGTATTTTAAAAAAGAACGCTTTTATGGTAAAATAACGAGTTATATGACATTTTTGTCAACGAAAGGACTTTTTTGGTATTGAAAATTTAAATTTAGGGATAATTTCAATATATTTTAAAGTTAAGGGATAATTTTGATGCAAATACAAAGTTGAGGGATCAAATTAGTATTTTAACTTTTTTTAAAGTTAGGTTTAATCAGGGAAGGCAATTTCCTCCCAAAATTGCGAAGCTCTGCAGAGATCTCCATCGCAAGGATGAAAATTCCAAGACTATTGCTCCTCGTGGAGTGGGGATGGAAGCATTTTTTTTCTTACGAAATTTTGTTGGGAATTTCTTCTACCCCATAGAGATTGTTGGGAATCCATATATAATAAAAAATAAATAAATTTATTATTATACATATTTTGTGAATATATTACTAATTAACTTTTACTCACCCAACCTAATTGACTAACCCTACCTAACCTAGATTGCCCAGTTTAATTCCTTTTCCAGTTCTAGTCTTCTCAACTCCAATTCAATAATCCAACTCAACCTGGACATGTATAGTAGTTCATGCAATTTTTTTTTATGAACTTGGTGCTAGACCTATTGGACGTATATGGCAGTATGTACTTGCTACAATTGGTTATTAGAGATTACTTTGTTGCACTATATGTTAATGAATAGGAATCGATTTTTTGGCGAGAACTCTACATACTCGCAAGGACTTATTATTCCCCACAAGTATAGGGATGGAGGTCATTTTTGGCCTCTCACCAAAAATCCCTGTGGGAATCCCTGTACTTGTCATTGGTGGGGTTGGGGATGAGGAAGAGGTCCCCGCCTCCATGGAGACCCATTACCATCCTTAACCAACCTTCCAAACCTATTACACCTCTGCGCCGGACCCTAGTGACCTATAGATGATGACTCCTTGAAAAGACAGAAAAGAATTGAGGAATATAGAACTTTCTCACTTTTGAGTTTGAGCCTGCTCCTATTCATTCCCGCACATCATTCTCTTTTTGATCATTCACCATTTTTCTTTTAGGGGGTGTCAACAGGCACAAACCGTTGTCCCTTCCTTCACTGCTCTACAACCATCCTTCTTGTTACCATTCCTCACTACCCTATTGTCTTGTTATTCAAATTTACCCTTGATTCTCCGAATTAGCTTAGCTTTTCTTAAGGAAAAGACTCATTTTAACAGTATGTATCAAAGTGTATACTACCTCTCCTCACTTAATATATGATGATCACAAGTCTAAAGATTAGTTACACTCGTCCATAATGAGAACACCTAATAATGACATAATGACAACTCATTAACGTAGTGTTCTTGTGGCCAGTGGGTTCAGTACACCCATTCCAAAACAAGCACCCATATGTATGACTTGAACATCCATATTCATGAGTTGTGAGATCTGTCACTCACTTAATGAGCCATTCCATATGCTGGTCTATTGTGAGTGGTTAATTCAAACACTATGGTCGGATGAACGACTAAGCACCCAACCTTTAGATGAACGACTGATCGGTTGAACATTATCACTCTTTGTCATCTTCATCCCTGACAGATGACACATGACACATGACACATGATTAGCATTGCCTCAAATGCCCTAACCATATGAATTAATGCACATTTATGGACCTTTATAAAGCTATAATACATTGCAATGTTCAATGTTGACAAAAGGGAATTTGCTATGTGGAAAGCAACCTTTGAGGGCTATAAACACACCTCCAACCACCACATCTAAGGTATATTCATTACACCCCTAGTTTTCATAACCGAATAGCCTACTTCTACTAAAATCCCTATGTATTGAGTTGAACGTCAAAGTATCTACCCCAAAACCTTGAGTTTTGCAAGTATTTTAGTCAAAGATTGTTGTTGAAGCTATTGTATTATTCTGTTCACCACTTGGGCTATTTTGTGCAATTACATCTATGCGTCAATGATATCCTTTCTCAATGACACTTATGATCAATGACATTTAAGAATACAGTGTCATTTTATCTATAATCACATCCATAAACTAGATTATTCACAAACACAAATAATTAACTCATAGTGCACACTAACAAATTGAACTTGAAATCATACA